GGCTGACCCGACTTTCGCCAGGCTACAGGAAACTGGTGTGGTCGCGACCGACGAGACTCTTGGTGCTGAGGCCGAGAGGATGCTTGATGGGGCTGGGACAAGTGAGGTTGAGGGCTAGGCTATGGAGCGTTCCCAGACCTACCTTGCCCTCCACCCGGGTTGACAAGTGCCCTTAAGCTCTCTTTAAGGTTTTTGTTGATTTGGGCTGACAGTTGCTCCAAATCCCGACGAGTGACTAAATGAGGGCTAGTCACCTCTCCTACAGGCTCGCTTTAAGCTTAGGGTACAATCTCCTCGACTATATTATTATGCCGGGTCGAGAGAACCGGAGCTTGTCTAGTACCTTCTTGATATCGGGGACGCCTAGTGTTTACCATAGTTTTTTGTTTCTTATCCCCACATACAACACCACCTGATTCTGGAAACAAAATGCTCCTAAGAGTGTTAGGGTATCAAGAGGTCCTAGAGTCTAAGTACAATTGTCCAAAAGTCCTTAGGAAAGTCCTTGAGCTCCGTCTTGCAAGTCTGAGGGCTCGGCCTGCAAGAAAGAGAAGGTTAGCTGCCCCGAGGGTGTGACCCGGAAAAGCCCCTCCGATGCTTAAGTCAGCGAAACGTACTTTCAAGAGAGAGAAAGGAAAGAGAATTAGAAAAAGTTACCATTATTAATCATTTGTGAGCTATTTATAGATGTATTTTCAGGTGGCAAAGCTGTAATTTAGTGGAAATATTAGGGGTAAATATGTACTTTATGATGATTAATGAATAGTTAAGGATGGATCATAGAGGGGTATTTTCGTCATTTCAGGTACATTGGGCTTAGGATATGGACTAGGCCAAAACAACGTCCAATTTTGAATTTTGAAATAAATTTATTAAAATTAAAATAATTTAATAAACCCTCCGTATTTTATTACATGCTCCACTTTCCTTTTGCGGTCGTATTTTTATTACTTGTTCCATTTTCTTTTTTGTAAATTTTTAACAATATTTTACTATTTTTCTCCCCACTATTGCCCACTAGTGGCCCCTTCATATCATATTATAATATATTTCATATTCTCTCTCTTCCCCACTTATATTCACTTTTGCTTTGTTAGGTTTTTTTTTAATTTTTCAACCAACCCCACTTCCATCATAAAATAATACTAGAGAAATGGATCAAATAATAAAATACGAAGGGAGTATTTGATTTGTTGATGTTCGAATGTTTTGGTACAGTTTTTTATTGATACAAAATTTTTGGATATTTGATTTTTCTGAATTGGATCGAATCGAATATTTGGTTTGGCCACACCTACGCCAATTGACCAAATTGGTATTAAAAAAAAAGGACCCTTTACGACAATTTGGTAAAAAATCGACTCTGGCGACAATTTGGTAAAAAAAGTTAACATTATGTGACAATTTGGTGAAAAAAATAAACTTAGGCAACATTTAAAAAATCTATTTTTTTTTCCGCAAACTCTTCAAAAGTCCTAATTAAATTGTTTTGTGTTTTTTAAAATTTATTTTTTTTTCAATTAAAATTTAAATTATTATGTCATCTTCTTTTTATTTGGCTAAATTTTGAATTACATAAATTTATTTTCAACCCTTTTTTTTTAAAAAAATGGTTAATAATAGGTAGGAAATTATGTGAAAATTAGTATGTAAACCTTTTTTTTCTTCAAATTTTTATTTCCTTAAAAAGGGTTGGAAATTTAGGTGGAAAAGTAAGTGTATATATATATATATATATATATATATATTATATATATATATATATATATATATATATATATATATATATATATCTATATATATATATATCTATATATATATATTTTAAAAAAGACCAAGAAAACTATAGCAATTGCAAGTAGTTGGTTGAAAATTTTGTATTTTTAGGCTTAATTGTCGACTTAGATTATTTTTTTAAATCAAATTGTCGCTTGATGTTAGATTATTTTACCAATTTGTCGCTGGAGCAAATTTTTTTTTACCAATTTGTCACTAAGGGTCTTTTATTTTTTTTACCAATCTGGTCAATTGGCCGCCACACCTATTTATGTATTCCATCCGTCCTAGAATAACTGACACATAGGACTTTCTTTCACTATTTATATATTAACTTTGGCTATACTTTTATATTAATGCAATAAATACATATTTTATCATGAAATAGGTTGTTAGATATTAATATGAGGTTTCAAAATACGACTTTTTTCGTAATTTTTTATTGATATTTTATTATTTATAAATTAGGTCAAATTATAGCATCGACATGTGTGCAAAATTTGACTGTGTCAATTATTTTGGGATAGAGGGAGTATTTTATTTTGACTGATGTATGTAATATTTTTTATAAAAAAAACTTTGTTAGGTGGATTTTTCTTAGAATCGTCTCAATGTTTGATTTCCAAATATTGATTATTTTTAAAATATTTGTACTTATCAATAATAAAAAACATCAATGTACTCTTGTTCATTTTATAATAATAAGACTTAGTTTTCTTCACCTTATTCTTATTATTACTTGTTAGAAATTAGATAAGAGAACAAGTCCTAATATTATTATCACCAGATCTCCTTATTACAAGTGAAGAGAACAAGTCCTAATATTATTTTCTTTTGCTTATTGCTACTCCCATTGTTCCATAATAATTGGAGACATACTTTTGATAAGATGCTCCAAAAGACAAATCATCAAATTCTAAGCACCCAAAATAAAATAAAATAAAATAAAATAAAAAAAATCAACATCAATCTATTTAAAAAAGCAATAATTTTGTAAACGTTGTAGTTAAGTTGTTGTGAGGATGTCCTTTCTTTGCATCCTCACATACTTTTATTTGGCAATGTTAAGAAATTCATTCTATTATATTTCTAATGAAAAAATAAATATTGCATTTGATGATCACGCACAATTAAAATACAGTAATAAGTAAGGCGGCAGTTTTTATAGATCGCGGTATCATCCTTCCATGATCTTTTGCAAATTGTATGGCTGGCAAGTGACTGGGCATACGTGTTCACAGTGCTATAAGTACAGATAGTTCAAAGGGATTTTAATTTGCAACAAAAACCTCCAAACAATTCGTTCAATCTACATATTAATTAAATTTTCTCAAAAATGGCAAAGGTTACATTAGGAAAGATTTTCTTTGCCAGTATGATTTTAGCCATTATGTTACTGAATGCTGCTGCTGAAGGTAATATGTCAACTTTATATGCATGTAGATTGTATTGTATATGTGTGGGTTATCGTGCATCAATATGTTCAATTAAATGGCATTATAAAAAGTTGAACCTATAAAAAGTTTATATTTTAAAATTAACGAATTGTTTAAGATTCTGCATAAATAAGAAGTATGTGTGTTCTTGGTTTCAAAAGAAAAAAAAAAAAGAAGTATGTGTGTTTTTTTTACACATCTAGTTGAGCTCCATGTTGGGCAGGGTATATGAAATTTGTTTTACATGTGAGTTTTGTCTCCAAATAAAAGTATCATTTTTTTCAAAATTCTTGCCCCTAAGTCTAGGGCTGAGCAAAACTATCCGAAAATCCAATCCGTAAGTGTTCGGAAAATTAGGGTACCCGATTTGATAACCATAGTGGTTCGGGTATCCGTTCCGATAATTTGTTATCGGGTATGGTTATTGGGTATCATTTTAAAATTAACGGTTATCCGATCCGATCCGATAAGCAATTTTTTGTTTTTTTTCCTACTTAATTCTATTTTTCCAAAATCTAAACTCTTACTTTACTTCATAATCCCTTTATAATATCAATGATTAGTAATATTATTAATAATTTGGTCAAGATCATGTGGTATTGTTGTTAATTAGTGTTAAATAATATCATAAAAACTACATTATTAAGTTTAATTTTCATTATTGGATACATATATATTCAATTTTAATCAATTAAACACCACCACTCCTTAAATTAATCAATCAAAACCCAATGTCATTTTATTTTATTTATATTTTCACCGTAAATCAACTTAATTCCACTACGTTATTTTATTATTTACCACCCAAAAAGCTTGTGCTAATGGTAAAAATAACTTTTACTACAATTAAAAGATGGACACCGGAGTAGTATGTTAAAATTTAAAAAATAAAATGTATAATGCGAAAAGTTGTAATCTGAAAGGAAAAGTGAAACAATAATACGGGTATTCTATTATTTTTTACTCCGTATTTAAGTAGTGCAGCACATTGACAATTATTCATTTATTTTGTGAAATAATAAAGGTTCCATTGGCATTTGCCCTGTGTTGGGGCCGGCATTCGAAGGAGGATGCGATGATATATCTTGTAAAGACGCATGCCTGGCTGCGCATCCGGTTCGTGGCCTAGGCGGGATTTGCAAAGTTCATTCCACGTCTTCCGTGGACCAAACTGGACGTCAAAGCTGCATCGACAAAATTTGCGGCGCCAGGAGTATTAATTGCCCTGATCGAAGGGATGTCGTAGAATCGTGCAATAGGAAGTTTACAACTACCACCACCTCTGAGAAATGCACTTGCGCGGTGCTGTGCTGATCGATGTCTCTAATGTAATATGCATTCAGTGGCAATACAGTTTATTGTGTACCAGATCGAGTTTTGTAAGCCTTATACTTGTATTTCATTTGCTCGACTTTGGGATTGTTTTTATGGATGTGTAGACGTGTAGTGCTTCTTACAATTAATCATGCATGCTTCTATACTTCTACTTTTCATCAATTACCTGCATATGTATAATGTATTGGACTACATACGTAACTATAAATGTGATTTTTTATTGACTTTTTGTGGTTCAATTACAACATTATATGCCCTAAATAAGTACTGTAATTAATTAAGGATTCATACAACGATACAAATATGTCAAGTATGGATTAGACTTGTACTCTTTCTCTATATATTATACTAGTATAGCACCTGTGTTTTTAAATCAAAATATTAACTTTACCCACAATTCTTAATAGAAAAAGTTTTACATACAACCGGTGTGCAGTAAAATACTAAACAACCGGTTTTTCGCACGTGTGAACAGTAATTTTTTTTTTTCCTTTTTCCAAAATAACTAACATCTTCTTCAGCAAGCTACAATGGAGGAGAGAGAAAACTCCAATTTTCCAGATTCAAAGCTCCTTCACCAAGCAACCATGGAGGAGAGAGAAATCTACAATTTTCGATCAACAATGCCGGAAACCTCCAAAGCTTCCAATTACGAAAACCTAATGCGCGAATTTCTACAATTACAAAGAGAAAATCGACCACCATTAACGCAACATCCAGAGAAAACATGGAGTTTCGACCTCAATCAAACATTCAGAGAAGGTGAAGCAGAGAATTTCGTTGATGATTTCGATGAATTTAATGATGATAACATTCAAAACTCAAAAGTTCCAGAAATTCAAATACAAGGTAATAATCTAAAAAAAATACTAACCTATTGTTTGTTTTTGCTTAAAATTTTGATTTAATTTTCAATAATTAATGCAGATATTGAAAATCAAGGTGTTTCAAATACATTAGAAGATGAAGATCAAGTTATTCCGAACACACTAGATGAAGAAGGACAACCAGTAGATGAAGACGAAGGTAAAATTCTATAAATGTGACATATATTAAGGCAAAAGTTACATATATTATGGCAAAAGTTACATTGACTATATGTTTATTTATAAAAGCATTTATGCATGTCTCTTGGTACAAAAGTTACTAATATCATTACAAATGTTACCTTTATTAATACAGAAGTTACTTGTATTATATACCTCTGTACTAAATAACTTATTCTTTATGCATATGCTTAAGTGAATAACCCTATGCTCCCATGTTCTCATGCCTCTAGGTACTTGCTTGTGATTTTGTTCATGCTGTAATTGTGATTTTGGTTACAATTGTTACAAGAAAATGCTAAATATCTCTTATTCTACTAATGCACAGATACAAATCCAAAACCAATAGATACCACTGGTTTAGATATGGAAGGATCATTAGTTGGAGTGGAAAGAGACACTTATCAAGAAATTTATGACTTGTACAGTCTACATGCTTCTACAGTGGGATTTTCAATAAGAAAGCATACAACAAGGTATCGCTTACACACACGTATAGTCACAGAGAAGTACTATGTGTGTTCTGCGGAAGGAAAAAGACATACTGCTGCAAAGAAGACAAATATGGTTCTAATGGTTGATGAAGATAACAAGGATTTAAAACAAAGAAAACCACGACAAGTCTCCATTACAAGAACTAACTGCAAGGCAAGCCTAAGAGCAAAAATGAATGATGATGGAAAATTTAAGGTGGTGTCACATGTGTTACAGCATACTCATGAACTAACTAGAAAGCAGTGGCATTATTTGCATCGATCTGAGAGAGAAGTAACAATAGAAAAGGCAGAAGCAATTAAAACAATGAAATCTGCTGGACTTTCAACAATGGACACATATAATTACATCTGTACAGAAGCTAATGGAGAAGAAAACTTGGGGCATAGTGTTGTAGATCACCTCAATTTCTGCTCAAGACTAAGAATGGAACAAATAGAGGCTGGAGATGCTCAGACATTAGTGAATATTCTGATCGAAGAACAAAAAGAAGATCCTAACTTCTATTTTAGAGTGAAATTCGACAAAGAAGGTAGAATTTCCAACATTTTTTGGAGAGATGCAATGATGTTAGAGGATTACAAAATATACAGAGATGTTCTTGTATTTGATACAACATACAGAGCAAATCGGTATAACCTTATATGTGCTCCTTTTGTTGGAATAGATAACCATTGGAAAAATTGTATGTTTGCATGTGCTTTCATAGGCAATGAAAAAACAGAGTCGTTTGTGTGGTTGCTTGAAACCTTTAAAAAATCTATGGAGAATAGAATTCCAACCTCCATATTCACTGACCAAGACCAAGCTATGGCTACTGCAATTGAGCAGGTACTTCTTTTTCTATTACAATATCATATTCACTGATTCCACTCTCATTTTAAGTCATTTTTGTGTTCATAACTTTTATGAATATAAGTATCACTTTTGTGAGTATAAATGTTACTTTTGTGAGTAAAAATATCACTGTTGTGAGAATAAGTGTTCAAGTTTAGTGACATATCACATTCTGAATGCAGGTATTGCCAGACACAAGGCATAGGCTATGCATATGGCACTTAGAACAAAATGCAATAACACGATTTGGAGCCCTTAAAAGGGATAATGAGTTCAAAAAAATATTCAACAAATGCTTGAAGGGATGTGTGACAGAAACAGAATTTGAAGAAAGATGGAAAGAAATGATACAAAAATTTGATTTGGTTAATCATGCATGGTACCAAAGGGTGTACAATCTAAAGGAAAAGTGGTGTCCACCATTTAGTAAAGATTTCTTCTCGGCAGGAATTCTTTCATCACAAAGAAGTGAAAGTACGAACCATGCAGTAGGATTCAGAGCTAATAAATCAACAACACTGACAAAATTCTATAGAATCCTTGTAAGAAACATAAAAAGATGGAGAAGTGATGAGAAGTATAATGAGTTTACCTGTAGCAAATCAATAGCCTTTACTTCATTGCCACTATCCGGAATGCTAAAGCATGTTGCTCAGGTAATTCTATATTCCTTTATTACATATATCTAAGAACTGAAAACAAACAATATAAGCAAATATAAAAATGATACATGCAAAGGAACATGACTGGTAGTAAGTTATTTCTCTAATGTACAAGTTTACACATTGTCTCTATTTAGAGACTTTGAAGAGGAATTTGGCTACTCAATGGCGACCACAGTACAAATTCTAGGGAGAACTGAAGAAAACATTATTCTTTATGAAGTATCGCTAGAAGAAAAGCCATGGTCTTCCCAACAGGTAAGTTACATACATGAGAGCCAAACTATATGGTGCACTTGTAAGAATTTCGAAGCTTCTGGTTGGCTATGCTATCACTGCCTAAGAATTTTACATCTACATTCTATTACAAGAATTCCAGAGAAGTACATTAGCAAAAGATGGACAAAGCTTGCAAAAACTGAAGTATGGAATAGAATGGAAAATAAGGATCCAAAACTCCCATATACATCATGGAGACATACAATGATGAGAAAATATTATAACTTAATCTTAAAGAGTCAAGAAAATGAAAAGGCAAGAGCATTCATGGAGGAAAACTTCAAAAACTGTATGAAAATGGTGGAAGACTTACTTGCGGCCGAAGCTTTTACAGAGGAGGTTGCTGCAAGTGATGACAATTCTAATGTGGCAGAGAGTGCTCAGAGTACCAATAATACTTCTTCTTCATCAACAAGTACAACCATACCCACTATATTAGACCCTAAGAGAGTTGTAACAAAGGGAAGAAGCAAGAGAGTAAAAGGAGCACTTGAAAAAGGGAAGAAATCAAAGCAAAAAGCATTACCAGATCCAAATTCAGAGTTTGGATCGAAGACACCTACTGTGCGACTTTTTTGAACTTGTAGTGAGTTTGGATGAAACACAATTGAATACTTTTTTGTAGTGATTTTATTTTTGTTTAATGCTACTATTGACTTTCATACAGAATTTTGAATTATGATATGGAATTGCTCATGAATTATGAACATTTATATAATATTACACTGATACTTAAAAAAGTAATGCATATACTGGCAAAAGTGATGCATATACTGGAAAAAGTGATGAATTTACTAACAAAAGTGACACTAACACTTACAAAAGTGATGCATTTACAGAAAAGTAACACTAATACTCGCAAAAGTAACAATAATGCTCACAAAAGTGATGCATCTTCTCACAAAAGTGTTACTTTTTACTCACAAAAGTATTGCATATTCACAAAAGAAATATGTCACTCACAAAAGTGATATTTATATTCACAAAAGTGACAATAATTATCACAAAAGTGTCCGTTTTTAAAATTAATAACATGGTAATATATATGTTAAACTTCAAGTTTTCATTTAAATCAACTATATCTTTGTATGATGATATATGATACACTTATAAAATTATAATCAGAAATATAAATAAATAAAAATAAGAACAACAGATTACCAATATTTAATCATATATATATATATAAAATAAAATTTGTACAAACATTTTGAAAATATTAACACCAGTTTAAGTGTCGATATTTATCACTAGTTTCAACTTCCAAAAGTACTTAACTAATTACAACTTCCAAAAGTACTTAACTAATAACAACTTCCAAAATTAGCTAAGATTTAGAAGGAGTGTACTTCCGTGTAGCCTTTGTAGTTCATTTTGATTTCGGAGCAGTGTCAACAGTAGGAGGAGCAGTTTCAGATTTCTTCTTTTTCTTCTCCGCTGCTGCAGCCTTCCTCCTTCCTTCAATTTCAGCAACATATGCAAGATCGCTCTTCTTCTCATTAAATTTTTCAACTTCTGCTAAGACATCAGATCTTGATTCGTTCATGTCAGACAACACGAGTTTTGCACAAATCTTAGCACGTAAAAATTTCCTCCCAGCAGCCTCACAACAAGAAAATAAAAGGCGCATTAATATGTATAAAACATTAGAATAAACATAACAAATGAATTAATTCGGATCAGTTTCAAGATCACTCACTGTTCTAAGTTCATCTACAGAAAACGATGTATCACCAACAAAATGCTCCATATGACACATCATATACACGCCACAGTCATTATTATCAACCTTACTCTTCCGCCACACTAAATCAGCAATTTTAAACTTGTAAAAAGGGACTTTTTCACTCTTTGGATGATTTCTTCGTGCAAGAAAATCACCAAATTCAGAACACTGAAAAAAAAACAGAATATTAAAAACAACAAAAAAATAAGATTAATATAGAAACATACTTTAAAATAGACAATAACATACCAGATAAAAAGTCAAATTTTGAAAATATGTAATCATGTCATGACTCCAAATGATATTATCAACATAATGAACCAATTCATTGCCATGATCAATCACAAACATCACATAATGTTCATCAACAAGAATAGGAAAATAAACCTGAAAAAAATAGAACAAAAGTTAGCATAAAGCACATCCATCACACAGTTAATATATATTAAAAATTAAGATATATACCAAGTCTGCACCAATAACATCACAACAAGAATTTTCATATGTAACCCATTCATCCCAAATTTCATGCAAATCCGAGACAACAGAACTAGCAGAACTATCTTCGTTCCCCTCTGATACTTGCAAAAAAGCAAACTAAAAGGAAAAAAATAAATAATTGAAAACAGTAAGAAAACAAATAACTCAAAACAGAAAGTTGCTTACACTTTGCCTCGCACCAAAAAAGAATCTTTTAGGACCACAAGTATCATAAAAACATGATTCATTTAGATAAATGCAGTAGCAATCAACTACTGACCAACGAACCAAATTAGGATGCACCAAAGACACCATATCCTCTCTTGGAATGAGAAAATGCAATCCATAAGTAACAAGATTCTCACTGCAAGGTCAAATAATATTATTAATATCAAAACAAAAAGAAAAAGAAAAAAAAAAGGTTTCAAAAAATATGACAATTAAAAAAGAACTTACTTATTATTAAATAAGTGTTCCACCAGACAATAATCAAGAGCTTCTAAATATAATCGAGGTAATTTTTCACTAAAAGCACGAGAATTACTTTTCATAAATGGCGTAACAAACACTACACTCTAACCACCAATTTCACCACAGTCCAAAGAACACAAACTTTTATTCATTCTTCTGACTGAACCACCTCTGCCACCACCATCTCCACCACCACCATCTCCACCATCTTGTAGGGTAGACTTTGATGAAGTACTTGCATCAACTTTAAGTAACTCATCCACTGACTTCATTTTTATAAACTCGTCAATTAAGCCATCAATAAGCTTATGATAATGCAGGTTAGATAAAAGCTGTTGTGTTTGAGACAACTCAATAGAATCAGCATCCAAAGAAACAAAATGTTCAACAAAACGACTATGCACCAATCGTTGCAAAGAACTAAAACAATTGGAATTCACAGATGAAAACAGCTCCATGTTCCTTTTCATATAAAGAAACTCTTCATGCAAATCCTACACATTAACAAACAATTATATGAGACCAAGAACAAATGTTTTATTAAAGAAAAAAAAACATACATCAGTTGCAGCACTTTTGATCTCAGAATCAGTTAATACTCCTTCAGGCAAATCGAAAGTCACACATCTTCTATCATCATCAATAGGAACCGCACAACCTTCACCCTTACTTAAGTTGTTAACATTCAAATCAACACACTTAGAAGAAACTGGATAAGTCAATTCATTCAAAACCCCCTGACCAAATCCACCAGCCTTCAACTCCAAGGACACCCTGTTCCTCACTTTTTTATCTGTCCAGTGTTGAATAAGAGGAATAGTGGAGTTCTCTACTACACCTTGGAAATTCAAACGATGAAAATACATAATCTTAAGCAACAACAAACATCCACTAATACTATCTTTAGCCTCAGAATTTTTGTAACTAACAACAAAATTCATCAACTTTCTCAAAACAAATGAACACCAATCAAGATTTTTAATTTGATCAACATCATCCACAGCATTAACTAACCTAAAATTAACAGTCCTATTAGCGGTAGGAACAAGCATACTACTAAGAGCATGCATAACAAATAACCTCTTAAATTCATCACCTCCATCCACCAACTCCTTGATCCTAGTTTCTAATCTAGCCAAAGGTATCAACTCCTTAACACCAACATCAAAAGAAGCTCTCCATTTATTTTTCAATGCACTATCATCTTGAGATTGACCTTTGTAACTACCCTTCATTTCAGGAACCTCACGACCTTCTACCTTAGGCAAACCAAAAACATCACACACATCATGCTTAGTCACAACAAACTCCTTACCATCAGCTACACAAAACATACAAGTATATCCATTAAAACTCTCAACAAGCCAAGGAAGTATACCTCCAACTATACTCTCCACACGTAAAGACAACAAACCACCAAATCCAACCTCTTCTACATCTTTTTTTTGAGTCGGAGAAAGCCCACTTATAACCTTAACTAATGAAGGTCTACAACGACATGTAATTTTCCTATCAGGCCTGAAAAAAAAAAAAAGATGCTTACCGTTCAAAAATGATAATAACATACTTATATACTGAAATTTTAGTTATCATATAAAATTAAACATGAATTATGAACATTTATACAAATTTTTATACTTATTCTCACAAAAGTGACAATCATAATCACAAAAAATGATACTCATGAGAGTCATGACACTCATTACATGGATATAATATTCAAAAAAGTGATTACTATCAAAATTTTCACAAAATGATACTTGCACTCACAAAAGTGACATTGATAAATACAAAAGTGAAAGATATACTCACAAAAGTAACACTTAATATATTGACACAAAAATCACATAAAAACAGTCCTATTAATCAAAGTTACCTATACTCTTACAAAAGTCACAATTCCATTCACAAAAGTATAGCAAATATACAATATTCTAAAACATAAAATCTTACTCGTCATCCTCTTTTTCTTGCCTCTTCCTTTTATTTCCCTTGGATGTACTTCCTTCACCTTTCAACATCTTTTTTCTTCCTGCATCCATTTTATTTACCGCTTTTTGAGCTCTACTATAACGAAAACCTTTGATAGATCCTACCAATTAATTTAAAAAAAAAACATCACAATAGAAATTTTGACAAAATTGACAAGATTGTACCAAGCAACACAAAAAGATAAACATATCCACCATGTTTGCCACACTAAAATCAAATGCAGCATTTAATTTATATATATTAAACTGTAACAAAAATAGTAGAAAAATACCTAAAATTCATACACAAAATGCTTTCATCAATTTGATTGTACTACTATGAACATGCAATTTTTCATTTGGACATTTTTACAAACACCTAACAGGCAATTCTCAAAATAAACCTAATCTAAGCAAAAGCAACTGATTAAAACGCACAACTAAACAAACATAGCACAAATTGTACAAAAAAAAAATTGCGAAAATGAGAACAAACACTAACCTAGAGCAACATTATCATCACCAGAAACCTTCTTCTTCACCATTGCAAAAACTACAAAAATCCAAAACAACGAAACCCTAAAAATCAAAACACTTCAAAATTGAATAAAATGAAATAAAATTGAGAAAACAAACCTGAAATTAGCAACAATCAACTTCAAAGTGAAGAAATTAAAGATCGAAAAGAGAGAAATTCAAGTAGCAACGCCAAAAGCAAGAGAAGAAGAGAACGAGAGGAGAGAGAAAAAAAAACCAGAGAAAGAGAAACAGGAAAGAGAAGAAGAAAGAGAAAATAAGAAATTTTTTGGTTCTTTAAATTTACACGTGTGAGCCCAAATTGAGCAGCCCAATTTGCACTTGTTTGTTGTGATTTTCAGTAAGTTAGTGAAGACCCGCTTTTATTAAAAGTTTGTCTTCTTAATATTAGTGGCGTTATCAATACGAGTAGTACTTTTACTCATATCTTAGCTTTTCCCGCCATCCTTCTAATTTCCTTAACTTTATTTAATTTTTCTTGTTTTGATAAGACATATACCTCCTTCATTTCTTTATACTTCCAACACTTTCCTAAAAAATATGTCACAATATTTGCGAGTTGTTACACACTATAATAGAAAAGCTTTTTTTTAGGTTGTACAATTATCTTAATTTAAAGCTCATGGCCTATTAAATATTTAAATTATACCCCTAATAATTTTTCACCCCGTTTTAAGTGTATTAAATTATGTGAGACTCACTTTTCTTAAATACCGAGAAAAAGTGTGTGTTACAATCAAGTATTAAAAAAGGAAAGAAGTACGTATGTACGATGAGACACTATTCTACAAATTTGCCTCATTGAATTGATATGCCTAAATTAATCATACAAATAACAAAATATTGACATAAGAATACAGTAAATAATTTAGATAAATGAGCCTCTTAATCATTTGAAATGAATAAATATACTTCATTCATTTTAGAATACTTGCTATACTTTCCATATATAAATTAAACCTTAGTACACCGCCTCTATCAGGCCCCCACCACCGTATTCTTAATTAATTTTTGTATTGGGCACACTTGTCGATACACAAGTTTGACTATTAATTTTTTATTAGTATAAATTATAAAATGTTGATATTAAGAAAATATATATACATTATAACTAATTCAACAACATGACAAAATTTGTTTGATAAATAGTACGGAGTAGAAAAAAGTCAAATTGTTGCAATTAAAAAAAAAGGAGGGAGTGTTAGCATAATTTAATACAGTATACAACTACTGTGTGACTTAGGCGTTGCGTCGGGTGATACTTTATTAATTCCTTGTTTTTATCATAGGGTTTAAAAAACTTGTTGATTTTATTTTAATTTTATTGTTAATAAATAATGACACCAATAAATTATTTTGAATTTTTTTGTTTTTGTTTTTTTTGTTGCTTTCATGCTATATTAGAGTATGTACTTATACATTTATGTGAGGAAAGATATATCATGGTTTATTTCTAGCTAATATGGTAGCAAGCGGTTTTCATTCAATGATGTTTGATGATCAGATATCTTTGTATGCATTTTTAGCAAACCATGCATGACATAAAATAAGATTGTTGAATGACGATGTGGCGTGATGCTAGTGCAAGAAGAAGGGTACAAATGACACATTTTTAAGAATGCTTTGACGTTCGTTAGCAAGATCCTTATTAAGTTATATATAGATAGATTAAGATAATTGTATCAGAAAAGGAGCTTGAACTCCTCTCCCCTGAAATTTTTGTGCCAATTTGCAAATATGTGCCTGGCACAATTCCTGTGCTCAGCTTGAGGGAGCACCTCTGACACTCTTCTTAATATAGCTTGCAACAGAGTTCTAATTAAATTTGCAAACACTTTAAACACATCTAATTAAGCATGTTATGTAAATGGAGACAGTTTCTGATGTTCATCGGAGATAATTACCAGCCCAGAACCATCTTCAAGGTCCAAGCTCTTCTTCACATTTGTCAGAAACCACTCCCATGAAATGTTGTTCTCACCCTCAACCACAGCCCAAGCAATAGGAAACATCTGGTCATTGCCATCTCTACCTACTGCAGACATCAGCTGGCCTCCAAGAAATGTTTTAAGGAAGCATGCATCAACACAAATGACCTTCCTGCATCCTTCCTTCCATCCCCTCTTAATACCATCAAAGCACACATACAACCTTTGGAAAAGTTGGGGACCTTTGTTATTCTGTCTGTATGTAACCAAATCAATATATGTTTATGGGCTTGCCTTCTTCAATGCCTTAAGATACCTGCCTAGCAACCCATAATGCTCTCTCATGGACCCATGGAATTTTCTGTGAGCAAAGTATTTCACTTTGTAGGCAAAATCCTTCTTCACAATGACTTTGTAAGCTCTCCTCACAGTCTCTATTATTTCTTTTGCAGGCCAGTGAGGCCTTGCCTTAAACACGTCCAACAACTAGTCAGCCTACCATGTTGATTTCAACTAAATGTTCTTCTCCATGTTCCTATGGCATGTATGCTCACCCATCACTTTCTTCACCACAAAACTACCTCTCCTAGAATCCCAAGAATCATACAGTCTAAAAGGACAGCCTTGACTACACTTTACCCCTATTCTCTGCTGCTTGAGTTTGTTTGCAATGACTATACAAAGATTCCTTCCTTGGAATATGGCATACTTAGCCACTACATGCTTAAATTCATCCTTAGAAGTGAATCTTTGTCCTATAAGCGACTAAAACTTAGAGAAATCTGTATCTTTCCCAACTAATAGCCCTCTCTTGGCCCTCCTTTCTTCTAAAGTGTTCTCATCATCACTAGTCCTAGGAATGTGTATTTCATCCTCAGACTCCTCATACTCAGAAACAACTTCTTCCTCCTTCCTACTACTACTAGCTTCGACACCCGGAGTTTGTTTTTTCTGAGCTTGCAGCTTACCCTCAGCAACTTCTTGTTGTAGCTTATGAGCTAGCTCAACTACACAACTGTTAAACCCCTTAACCCTATCCCTTGCAACAACTTGTTCATCATCACTTGTATCCACTCCCTCAAATCCTTGCAACAACTTAGGTTCTTTTAACAGATCTATGTCATCATCATCAGCTACAACTTCATCATTATCAAAGTTAACAACATAGATCTGATAATCAGCAAGCCAATCATCTTCCTCATACTCATTCTTATCAAAGGCTGCCTCATCAAAGAAAGCTTCACCTATCTTGTTTCGGGGTTTTCTGATGTCCTGCGGGAGAGTTACAATTCCGAGACTGGAACCGGACGCCTGTACCAGCAAAACAAACGGATGCTCCGGATGATTGGAGATCCGCCTCCGACGGTCAAGTTAGTACTTGATTAAGGAGTAATTAATGCGGAAATTAAAGTGATTGGGTCTCTCTAGGTGAGAGTGTTTAATGTGTGTAATCTGCGTCATCCCCCTTAATGAGGATTAAGGGAGGTATTTATAACCTCGGGAAATGCGCCAATCCTAGGTTTAGGTTAACCTTGGGCTGATTGGGCTTCCCTCGGAAGTTGGGCCTAGGTGGCCGACTACTCCATTAGGCATGGAGTATGCCACGTGTCATGACATAATAGGTCCAGGGTGGACGAATAAGCGTGTGCCACGTGGCAAGCCCTGAGAGGTCCAACTGGGGGACACTTGGCTGGACCTGATTGGCCCACGTAGCGCATTCCGATTGGTGGGAGCAAAATCCCCTCCCGCCCAAATTTTGAATTCCGGAAGTGACCCTTCGCCTTCTCATTTCGCCTATATAAGGGAGTGTTGCCTTCGGTCATTTTCACACTTGAGAACTTTGTGAGAGAACATTCGGACCCCTGAACTTGCTCTGACATTTTTGGACCCTTTCTGCCTACCGCCTGCTCTGACAAGCCGACTGCAAAGGATTTTCAGAACTTCATCAATCGTCACTCGTTCAGGTAACCATCGGTTCTCTTACTCTTAATTTTCTCTTTACTTTATTCTTTTTTGAAATGGCACCACGGAAGCACACGACACGACCTAGGTTAGCGATCTGTCGGTCACCGGGGACGGCTGAATCTAGGACTAGGAGTGCCGCCTGCCCTTTTCTGGACCCATCTTTGCCCTTTATACAAAGTCCGACTTTATCTGTGTCTATGCAGAACATGATGGCCAGAACAAAAAAGACGGCTAGGATCTCGAACTCAGACGACTCCTCCCACCGGGTGCCGATTAGTGAAACATCTGACCAGGCGCCAGATGTGGAAGTGAAACAAAGCGGCTTGAAAGCCGGCATTTCTGAGGGAGGAGTCAAAGTGACCCCTTCCCATTTTACAGTTGACAATTCTACATTCTCTCCTGCTCCTTTTAAAGGAAAGGAGGCGGGCCCCTCTGGGAGAGGGGAGGAGTCGTCCTCTTCGGACTCGTCAGAGGATGAATCCAAGTCTAGCTCTTCTGGCCATGCTTCTCTGGACACAGAAGAGAAAAACAGTCGCCTACAAGAGGCGAGGATTTCTCACGCTGTTGAGAAGGGGGACAATTGGGCGGAGCCATCCGCCTCTCACCGAGAGCAAAATACCCCCTACTACTGCACGGTACCTCGGGGCCGGATCACGGCCATGCAAGAGAAAGTGGGAAGCTTTATCGCAAACCACACAATGGGCCCCGGCTTTTTAGTGTTCGTGCCGGATCCAGAAGACACAATCGTCTGGCCGGCTGGTACTAGTTATGATGGCGCCTTCTTTGGCTGCTACGAGGCGGCCATCAAGGCTGGGCTGCGCTTCCCACTACATCCGGCTGTTCAGCGGATCTTGGATGGGTATGAGTTGGGGTTATGGCAGTTAGCCACGAACTCCTGGGTCAACGTACTCGGCTATGTGGCCGGGTGCGAACTGCACGGGGTGGAGCCGAACTTCGAGGCTTTCGCCCACATGAACTACCTCAGCCGGACCCCTAAGGCAGGCGGTATTGGCTGGTATCAATTGGCGAGCCACAGGGGCTACCTCATGACAAGAGGTAAAGCAAACAAGCGCTTCCTATATCAAGAAGGACTGGCGGAGCACCTTCCTTATCATTGAGAGTTCAGACACAGAGCTGAACAAGCGCTTCAACAGGTGGAACAGGAATCTGCCCCTTCTTGCAGGCGGTCGCAGCATGCCGCCTGTTCCCCCCAAGGCTAAGAAAGAGATCCTAGATAAAGGACTCTTCAAAGTAGAGTCGAAGGTGAACTCTACTTCAGGGGTACGAGAGCAAGTACCCCTGCACTGCGTCCCGAGCTTCAAATAGCTCTACGACGAGTACTTTTTGGCCGCCTGTGGCCTCAGCAGTCGGTGCTCAAGAGGTAGCCGGCCTGTCGAATACTCTGTTGTTCCATGCATTTCTGTTGTGACTTTTATTAACTTTGCTATTTGTTTTTGCAGCGGACGCCATGAGCAAAATTACCGCCTCCAAGACTGCGGCGGCCATGTTGCGGGCCTCCATCATGCAACAGTCTTCAACCGACTCCCCAACAAGGGGGCAATCTTGGTGGGCTTCGAACCTTTCACTCTTTTTTAGGAGTTGTGTTTATGCATATACTGACTCTTTTCTTCTTCTTTTTTTTAGACGGGCGCTCCAAGAGCTTCTTCTTCTTAACAGCCGGACTCCAAGGCCCGGAGGACGACTGTTGCGAGCTCTCCTGGTTCTGCCAGGAA